CAGTGGGCATTCTTGGGTTGTTCCCTGGAAAGCCATTTTATTATAAATAGATCTCTGGGGTTTTTTTGTGACCAACATAGCAGGGGGATTGGCTAGGGCAGAATAAGTGCCTCACATGATATGATACTGGGGAACCACAGGCACACCTTGTTCCAAATATTGGGACATACATTGAAATTTGTTCTATAATAAGAATTTCTTTGCTCTGAATTTTAAAGATTCCTGAGTCCTGACCATCAACATTTACCTTAAGATGGTGCAGCCCCTTAATCCTGCCAGTTCTTATTTGCATGATAACCCTCAAGGATTTGTGGGAATGGGATAGAAAAATGTCTGGAAATGCCCARAAAGAGAAGACAACAAACAGAAATGTAACACAGAAACAGGATGATGTGACAGAGCCTGGAAGTGGGCAGCTGGGAAAGGAAGGTCTTAGGTGAGTTACTTCAGATGGTGATGGTAAAGGAAGATGTCACAGGGCAAACTCTCCCAGGAAACAGGCTGYGAGACATTTGTACTCAGGAAGAATTGAGGGGAATTTTTCTTGGGCTCAGGATTGGGCTCAAGAAAGCAGGATTGAAGAGAGGAAGAGGTGGACCTGAAAAGTAGTAGCAACAAAGACAGACCTTGGCTCAGGCCACAGGAGCTATGAAGCTGGAAGTTTTTTCAACTGGTAAAGTTCAGAACAGAGGCAAAAGTTCAGGYCTTTTTACCCTCCGTGAACCAACTCTCAAGGCCTGAAAAGAAGCATTACTTTGGGTAAAGTACCCCTCTTTGGCTAAGGGCAATTCCCAGAGAGAGACTCAGCTGAGAGCTGTCAGCTGTCAGACTACTGGGAGCAGAGTCAGGGCGTGGAAAAGCAAGCAAGCTTCAAGGTTGCACCTGAGAACAGGTGCCTCCTTAAATTTGGCACTTTCTTGGACTTCCTTGCTTCACCTAGTCCCAGCCCCAAGGTGGGAGATAGAATCTGGATACCAGCACCCTCTAGAGAGATAGACCTTTGGGGTGAAGAATGAGACAAAGTCTCCTGAGCAAAGAGCTGGAGTGGGTGGATCAGCATCATAGAGAGGCAGCAGCAAATGCAAAGCTGCAGTAAATTTGATCTGAGTATCTGGAGCGTCCCGAGGGAGGACAGGCTTAGCAGAAAGGGCTAGACCAAGAGCCCTCTAACATGTAACCCAACATACAAGAAGATGATTTGGGTTTATGTGCATAAGGGACCAGAGTGAAGAAAAGCAAACATCCTGAAATATTGTTTTTTTTTTTTTTTTTTT